TTTGATAATCATGCCCATAACCTAAACATTTTTATATTTATTTATTTTTAAATAAATAGTACACATCAATACGAGAACTTCACCAAAAAAAATTGGTGATTTGAACTCAACGTGATTTTTTTTTCAGAAGGTTTTAGAAACGTTCAAATTTGCCGCCTCATCTTGGCAACCCATTCGTCTTTAGTTGGTATTCTCTCGGTAACCACTCGGAAACAGAGGAGCTGTGACGTAGATTAAAGAGCTATGACGTTAATTAAGGAACGCGTGACTAAAGATAGAAGAACACAAGTGCAGAATAAAAATATTTCTTTGTAATTCACAAACTAATTACAGCTGTTAAATGGTAAAACATGTCGGTAAAATTCGTTAATTGCATGCAATTAGATGCAACAACGCTGGGTAATACCCAAATTAAAGAGACAAGCAAGCATAAAAATCACCCGTTTTTCAGTTTCTGAATTTATGACGTTACGTACATTGTATGTGCATGTTAGTTCGTGATCATCGGAACGGGTGTGCCAAAGAAATAAAGAGTGAAAAAAAAGTTATAAAAAAATCGTTGTGCATGTCAAAGCCCACTTTTTTAGCAAAGACGTCTGTCCTGAATGTCTAGTCTTTGAACAACATAAAAATTTTTACGTTATGCATGGTCAATTTAAGCATTATATGCAGTGACTCTTCCCAAACATGGAAAATTGAATGTGTCTTTTTTTTCTTCTTTTCAGAAATTAGAAGAGATGTCAAATTCATCAAGGCGAAAGTTGGGCGAAAAGGAAAGAAAAGAGGTTTTTCAAGTTGTTTTTTTCTTACAGTGTGTTCATCAGTTCTTCTTATCATGTTTAATTTCACTTAACTTGTGGACTTCGCCGATCAATAGTCTATTTCCTAGTTCCAAAAAACAACGTGGAATCCACAATACAAGACTGTTTTGGATTACCTTGTATGACCTTGTCTGCTACACAGCCGTTTTTAGTGTCGACACTAAAAACGGTTGTGTAGCTGACTATCTATGACCGGATCAACTCTAAAACACTAAACTTGCATTGCAGTGTGATCATCAAGCACTGTGATTATAAGGAATATTCATTGCAAGGACTGACTAGAGGAGAGGAGAATATCTCGTAAAAATGTTGAAAGAAATTTGATCACTCATTCTGCAGCACAGTTCTCCGCGCAGATACAGTCAAGCCTCGTTAATACGGATACCGAGGGGACGTAGAAAGTGTCCGTATTAAGCAGGTTGATTAAGAGAAAATGTAGGGGGTTTCTTTTCCTAAACAAAACAAACTGTCCGTAATAATGAGGTGTCCATATTAATCGGGTGTACGTAAAGTTGGGTTTGAACATGCATGACTGTATAAGTATGCAGCCTTCCCGTGTCGCGCAAGGTTTTAGTTAACTTAAGGGTATGCACAATAAGCTCAAGTCTAAAGCAGTTTTAATCACTGCTGAAGTAAAACCCCGCATGTCTGTTCCCTGAAGAAAACCAACCCCTGTCTAGCTTAATACTGAGGCAACTCATTTGTTTTAGGTTGGGGACGACGCAATCGATGGGGCGACTACGTAAGCTAAACTTTGTTTTTTTACTTTTAAATTGTTTTTTTTTTTAATTACTAAATTTCCATGTTTGCGCAGTTCATTAAAATCCAGTAAAGAAACATTCCGCAAACCTGATTCTTCGAAAATCTTCCTTCTTCCTTTTTTTTTGTCGGAAACACAATAAAAACTACAAGTTTACCATCGCATTATCATATATAGTTTACCACTACGCTATTGAAAACGACCCAGTAAAACGTTATTGTTCCTATACGCATATTGGATTGGTCCAGTTGTTTTCAGTTTCCGCGCAAAAGTAGTTATAATTCCAGCGTTTTCGAAAAACTTTCCATTTTGCTCGTCGACGGACATACAAAAACCTCCGTTTTCAAATTGAAAGCCTATTCTTTCGATAGAGTTTTCAGAAACCTCAGCTTATTATATAACAAGCATTTAGTATCTTAGATGTAGCAGCTCGCCAACCTTAAACAATGGAACTAATGATAAACAATGTTGTGTTATTGTTTTCTACGACCAACAGGGGCGGATCCAGGATTTTTTTTAGGAGGGGGTGCACTCGTCTCTTGCTCTACTTCAACACCAATAAACCACATAGTTTTTTTTTTCTGCAGAATACCAGTTGTATTAGAAAACCGCAGGTCATCTCGGGGGGGGGGGGGGAGGCCCCCCCCCACCCCCCCCCCCCCATCCCCCCCCCACCCAAGAGGAGGAGACATTGTGCCGCTCTTATTATATAACAAGCATTTAGTATCTTAGATGTAGCAGCTCGCCAACCTTAAACAATGGAACTAATGATAAACAATGTTGTGTTATTGTTTTCTACGAACAACAGGGGCGGATCGAGGATTTTTTTTAGGAGGGGGCGCACTCGTCTCTTGCTCTACTTCAACACCAATAAACCACATAGTTTTTTGTTTTCGGCAGAGTACCAGTTGTATTAGAAAACCGCAGGTCCTCTCGGGGGGGGGGGGGGTACCCACCCCCTACACTCCCCCCCTAGATCCGTCCCTGCCCGTACTGGTATCTTTCACCCAAAAGGACCTTATACTCCTTGTTACTAGACCCCCCTCCCCCCCACCAACCCACACCCCCCCGCCATTTTTGCATACGTTATTGTGGGAGATTCGGAAATTAAAGTTTCCCCTTACTTTGAAGGATTAAGCCAGGCACATTATGCTATGGTCATATGTTTCCAATATGCCTTTTTTTCTTCCAGGAGGAAACATCCGCTTCCGGTTCTGGTCAGAGTGAGTGAGAGGTTATCCCAATGCTAACAAGATGGCCGCCATTCAACACCTGTTCATTCGATTAGTGCAGTTAGATTATAATATTAAATCATTTTTAAAAAGGTGAAGGCTCTGGCAATGTAACACGATGGAAATAAAGTCTGCAAACAAAGTTTGTAGTGTTTCTGGTTTTCTCTTTACAGATCTTTACAAGAAGCGTTGACCTTCAGATATCTTGTTTCAATAATTCCGTCGACGATTTATATTTCTTCGCGTTCAGTCCTTAGAAAATTCAACTTGCGTGTTTTCCATAACACCAAGATTTACCGTAATTTCAGGAAGGTTTCTTTCTACCCAAGTGAAAAATTGCCGGGAAAAGTGATTCGCCTCCATTTTTAACCTGTTGGTCTGGTCGAACCGAAACTTACCCTTTCATCTTCGAATTATTCCCCTTCCATTTCACTGAGATGGAATGAAGGTTTTGGTCAGAACGTTACGCCAGAACCTTAATGAAACGTATCAGCCATCAAATGATAGAAATTATCACTTTGCGTGTTTATAATCTAATAATGCGAGGTCATGCATCGTCTCAAATCTTGAAAACATGCATTGGTATTTAGTCACATAACATAAGCTTTCTTTCGCCCCACTTCACACACAAAATAAATACACAAGCTGTCCTCAAAAAGGCAGTACGTGAGGTCAGAAACGCCTAAGGTTTTTCCTGTACTCTGCTGTAGTCAAACTTGCATGAACTTTCAAAAACCTAGTCATTGATGAATCCCGGGCCCTGCAACTTTCCCTTAACCATAAACTAAATAAGCAAACCATCAAACCAGCTTTTGTTTCGCAGAAGAGTTAATTTTGTTGCGTTACGGAAGAAGTACACGAAAAGTTAAAATCTTTAAACTACACAAAGCTTCTTGTCTGTAAACAAATTTTAAGATGCCACATAATTTTCTTTTGAGACAAGATTGGTCCTGAAGCGTGACCAAAAGCGTGACAAAGCTTATATAATTATTCGAAATTTCTTGTCGCAAGTAAAACACAAAAAAACTTCAATCTAGATTTTTACTAGAAAAACTCTATTGGTTCCTTCTAAACTGGTTAATTATAGGCCAAGACAAAAGCAAGCTGCATGTCTGGGACTCCCTTTCTCGTCCCCTACCCCCAGGGTCTGTAAGGACGGGCGGTCGGTACTCTGAAGTAATAACCAAATTTTCTCGCATCGATGGTATAGTATTGGAGGCTTCGCTAATATGAATATAACTTGAAAACTTTTTTCAATTAATTACTATAATTGCAGTTCACTGTGATCTACCAAGGACGGCTATACCTCCTACGTTCATACCTTTCATACCGCTCATATCTTTCCCGTTCATTCTAGCAGAATCATTTCCGTTCAGTAACTTCTATAAAATTCTGTAAACTATGACAACGTAGCAAGATAGTATCTCAAAATAAGCATTTTATAATTGCAGAACTAAATTTCAAATCAGATTTATAATATCAACTGGACTGGTCATTGAAGAAACGCGGTGCAACAGTTTAATTAAATGGAGTCGGGTCATCGCTTATATATGGCGTATCCTGACTACACAGTTGTTACCAGTGTTAGACGGACAGCCACAGAACCTTTGCTGTCTCCGTTTAATAGAGGTGTCTGCTAAAGTCAGGTTCGTTTTACTAAAAATATGGCAAGAGAGACGGTTTCAAAGATAGAATGCATGTAAACCGAGCTACTCGTCCGTTTAATACCAGTATTGTTGTAGTTATGCGTTGGTTTGGTTCTTTAATTTGATCACTGCGAAAAACGACCTACCTATTGATTCATCTGGTAAGAATCTGAAAACTCGATGGGACTGACTATAGGATTAAGTCACAGTGTTAAACCTAATATGTCATATCTATTTGCCATTGTTTTATTTTGTATTCAACTTATAGATGTTCAACGACTGCGAGTCATTGTATCCTAGTTTTGGGTGGATTTTGATGAGTACCTAAGAGCTTTAAGCAAGTGATCTCAGTTATTGAAGTGGGTCGATCTTGGTAAGTTCACGAAAAATCCCATGTTCAAAACGATTTGATAGCTTATTTAACTGTTTCTAAACAGCTACTTCCGTTTCCATGCTTTTTTGTTTTTTCTTTGACCAATCATCTGTTGTTTAGTGGACGTANTCAACGACTGCGAGTCATTGTATCCTAGTTTTGGGTGGATTTTGATGAGTACCTAAGAGCTTTAAGCAAGTGATCTCAGTTATTGAAGTGGGTCGATCTTGGTAAGTTCACGAAAAATCCCATGTTCAAAACGATTTGATAGCTTATTTAACTGTTTCTAAACAGCTACTTCCGTTTCCATGCTTTTTTGTTTTTTCTTTGACCAATCATCTGTTGTTTAGTGGACGTATTGCATTGGTGTGAGTCTGACTGATTATTCAAAACTGTTTGGGGCTCATAATATTAATAGTTAGTTTATTGCAACGTTGGTTTCTCCAAATCTTTTTAACCTTAACAGAGAAAAGACTGTTTTATGAATTGTTATAACTCAAGCGAAGGACTTTTCAATAGGATGCTCTGACTGTTAATAGAAGTATAATAAATTTACAACAAAAGCGCAAAAATTTTTAACGATCCCTGTAGACAATAATTCAAAGGATTCCTGAAACTATTGGAAATACGGACAATCAAAGTTTCTCTTAAATTGCATGTCATTAACGAGGCACCAGTTTAATTCTTACTAACAATAGCCCGGATGACGCATTTTAGAAAAGAATTTCCTTGTAAGAGATGTGTTGATACTCTCACTGGTAGTTGTATCCAAAAATAGATATATAGATTTAGCAGAGGCGAAAGGCGAAGCTCCCGTTAATGAAAACATATTGAAAAGAAATCCACTTAGATGTGAGCTTGCGACTGGTTGAAAACAAGTATCTTTTCAGGGGTAAACTGAAACCTGAGTCCACGATATGGTCCTCTGATACTGGTCAGGGGATACTTTGTTTTGACAGCTGTCAATTGACCACAACATGTATGTTCTACATTTCACATTCTGGTTTCTCTTTGGTGCGGACGGACGGGGCGGGCGAACGTCCAGTCATTGGACTACCAAAATTTATCCGATGGTTGGATGACCAAATTTTCTTAGCTACGGGCCTCTGTTTTTAAGTGGGGGAGGACATGGCAGTAGAATCCCTGGCGAATAGTGGGAGGAAGTGGTACGGGAGGCGCAAGAGGAAAAGGCGGGAGGTGGGAGTTTTAAAAGGCCGGGTAGTAAGCGGAATGTTGGAATAGGAGAAAATTACGCAACAATGCTTATTACTCCGTTATTATCGCAAAGAAGCCAAGAATGGGCAGGGATTCTGGTTTTAGAGAAAAAAATTTTGAAAATTCCAAAAACAAATTCAAGGCTGAAGTGGTTGGACTAGTGGCTTTCTGATCCAATGGTTTCTCGATAAAAAGCTGATAGTAGAAATTTAAGGCAAAACATCAGCGAAATTTTTCATGAGCCAAATTCACGCTTTTGTATTATTGCTCAATGATAGCTGCAGGTTTCTTCAAAGTTTAGTAGCCGTCAAGTTAGGAGCGAAAAGATAGATAAATCAACGCACTTGTTACAACAACGGATCCGCCTTCAGCTTTTCTTTCTTTAAAAACGGCAAACTCAGTGGCGGAATTGTGCCGTTAGTTGATTAATATCCTTTAATATTTTAGTTGACTGATTGCTCCAGTCGTTGATAACATTTTTATTGCAGAAATTAAAATCAGCCAGTAAAGATGAAGATTTGTTGTGCGGCCTCTCTGATATGCTTCCTTCTCTTGGCAGCCATGGTGTCGTCGTCAGGTAAAGAAGCATTTATATTTAGTTATTCATCGTTTACAATAAATATATACCACGTTTTCCTTTGAAAATATGATGTGATTTTCTTTCTAAATTTTCGGTGCTCCTGTCCACCTCGCAAATATCAGCGGTTAACCTAAAGTTATTTGTTGCTCGCACTTGCAAGTTCAGCGTTGGTTCTGACGTCGTTCCCTAATTTTGAACAAACAGTAGTGAAGTGCGCGGGAAAGCTTTCCTCTATTGTCGACGGCGTCGCCGTTCATAGTAGGGAGCTTTAACATCGACGACGGCAACGAAAACGTCAGTTTTAAAATGAATTCCCGTTTTTTCAATCTTTGTCGCGTTTATTCCAATTTGCTGAAAATGGGAAGTGTAGGCGAATTCCCTGGAGTTGATTTCTTGAGGACCGCACTCAAGTTTAGAGAGAGAAAAAGAGATTCGTCGTCGCTTGTTTACGTCCTCCATGAAACTTGCAATTAGACATTTCACGTCCAGTCGTAGTCGTGCAAGGACGGTAAAGAAATGTACTAAAAAGCGTGATGCACGTGCAAAGTTGTTGTTTTGCGCAATAAACCTATTGCTTTTTTGACGTTCTCGTCGCCGTCGCCGTCGTCGTTGCTAAAGCTTCCTAGTTATTATCTTGCGTCGCAGACGCGCGTACTTTAACCTCGGTTAGTAACGTCTGCGAATCAGCACCGAGATACACGTTCTGCGCCCAAAAAGGACTCGATCAACGAATTACCGGATGTGCTTTTCGAATTTCCTTTGAGGCAGGCTAATCGTGGTGCTTACTGCAATCTTGGTACACATGTGAGAGCCTAGAACGAGGATTTCGATCGATGCTGTTGTGCAGACGGACTTGACCAGAGAGTTTTGTTTCGTCTGTGGCGAGGACTCATGTTCATAGTAGAGAACTATAATTTCAAGAAAGTCACTCTCCGTATTTCTTGGTGCCGGAGACTTTTCATTCGAGGTTTCAGTTTCGCCCGTGGCTTCGGCCAAAGGCCGAAGTTTTGTCGGCCTGCTGCCGCCACCGAAGCATCTCGCCGCAAGTGAGAAAAAAACCTCCGGTGCCCTAAAGGTACTCTCCGAGTTAGATCACTAAGCTCGAAAAATGAATAACGCGTGAAATCTTCCCCCATTTTCTCCAGCGCTGCGCTGCCAAAACAGCAGAGCCACCGCACCGCGTGTCTCTTGCACCTTTCGTGTTATATAAATTCGATTGACGTCACTGAATGTATTAATGTCGGCAAAATAAACATGGGGTCAGTATGAAGAATTAGCTCAANACGCGTGAAATCTTCCCCCATTTTCTCCAGCGCTGCGCTGCCAAAACAGCAGAGCCACCGCACCGCGTGTCTCTTGCACCTTTCGTGTTATATAAATTCGATTGACGTCACTGAATGTATTAATGTCGGCAAAATAAACATGGGGTCAGTATGAAGAATTAGCTCAATGAATTAGGCCAATCATAGAAAGAAACATACTTTGAATAAACATCATTGTTACAGGAGCGAAAAATTATTGTCGATGTCATCACTATAACTATAATTAAGTACTATATTATTATTATTGTTATTAATGATAGAGGCGGGTTGTCATTGAGGGTCGCCTGAAGGAATTCTCCCACCCACACATAATAGTGTTGGGGGATTCTAAGTATGTTCTTTATATTTATGTATTTTATTCCTTTCTCTTCTGTTCTGTAACATTACCTAACTAACATAATACAGAAATGAATGGAATGATCAGTAGTAAACAGTGATAGTAATGAATTAACAATTATTCTTTGAAATCGAGGTGAATAGTGGCAAAACATTTACCGAGCCACGAAGTGGTGAGGTAAATATTTCTAAAGCCACTTTTCACCGAGATTGAAAAGAATAACTGTTTTAGTATATACACACGAAGTGATCTCAGCAAAATCAGAGAGGAAACCATTACAAAGAACGATTCGATTGACAGATCAGGTGAGCTAGACACGCGAAAGTTTAAAAATAGATCTTTGTAGAATTTTCAAAAATGCAATTCACAGGCTTATCACTCAGGCTTAGTTAATATTGTTGAATAATCCCCTCGACTTCGTCTCGGGGATTATTCAACAATATTAACTTCGCCTTCGCCTTCGAATTGTTAAATATTAAAAGTTTTGTCTTTTTATTTAGGTATCTTAGCTTATTCTCCCTACCACTCTACAATTACTTTACTTACATAATAAGATATTTGATGAAATTACATTTAATCGTAAGAAAAATTTGTTAATTGTCCTGGTCAAATATTGTTTATTTGTGATTCAGTTGTGCCAGCGAAACGTACAGAAAAACGCGACGTCACGGACCATGCCCAAAAAGTGGATGATCTTTTTCCCGGAAATCTTCTGCCACAATTGAGGAAACGTAAGCAAGAAAAAATACAATCCTTAAATCTGCAAATTTGTGTCCTGAGTCAAATGTGTTAAATTCGCACTGCGCATCTCCCACTGCGCATGACAAGATGGTCGCTTTTAAAAGCGCCTCGATTTCCTCAGATTAATTTTTTTCTTAGTCAAATATACTCTTTGTTGAGCTACATACTTTTCTTTACCTTTAAAAATAATCCACTTTTTTTCATTTACCCTTGACTGACATGGTGTACCCTATAGGGCCAGGAAGCATAAAGTGTATAAGCTCCCGGCCTTAATATAGGCTTCCTTGTCATTACCACTTTGAACATTTGTAAAATAGATTATATAGACTAGTGAATTTGATCGATTTTGAAGAGAAAGTTAATCCTGTATTAACGGCATGCCCCGGACCCCCCTTGGAAGCATGTCGACTTCGGCCACTAGGGACTTCTCCCCCAAACGATAAATCCTAGATAGAACCCTGAGTGGTATTTGTCTATTCTATATCGCTGTCACTGCTTAAGGAAAGTTTGGCCAATGTCAAGTTGTATTTGAATAACGCGTGAAATCTTCCGCCATTTTCTCCAGCGCTGCGCTGCCAAAACAGCAAAGCTACCGCACTGTGTGTCTCTTGCACCCTTCGTGTTATATAAATTCGATTGACGTCACTGAATGTATTAATGTCGGCAAAAGAAACATAGGGTTATGAAGAATTAGCTCAAAGAATTATGCCAATCATAGAAAGAAACATACTTTGAATAAACATCATTGTTACAAGAGCGAAAAATTATTGTCGATGTCATCACTATAACTATAATTAAGTACTATATTATTATTATTATTATTATTATTATTATTATTATTATCATTATTATGTAAAGGCGGGTTGTTATTAAGGGTCGCCTGAAGGAATTCTCCCACCCACACATAATAGTGTTTGGGGATTCTAAGTATGTTCTTTATATTTATGTATTATATTCCTTTCTCTACTGTTCTGTAACACTTACTTAACTAACATAACACAGAAATGAATGGAATAATTATAGTAAACAGTGATAGTAATAATTATAGTAAATATTAAAAGTTTAGCATTTTTAATAAGGTATCTTAGCTTATTCTCCCTACCACTCTACAATTACTTTGCTTATACTACGACATGAGAAATCGTGCTATTACGTTTACTTACATAATAACGTATTTGATGAAATGATATTAAATCGTGAGAAAAATTTGTTAATTGTCCTTGTCAAATATTGTTTATTTGTAATTCAGTTGTGCCAGCGAAACGTACAGAAAAACAATCCTTAACTCTGCAAATTTGTGTTCTGAGTCAAATGTGTTAAGGCGATTCGCATTGTGCATCTCTCAGTGCGCATGACAAGATGGTCGCTTTTAAAAGCGCCTCGATTTCTTCAGATTAATTTTTTTCTTAGTCAAATATACTCTTTGTTGAGCTACATACTTTTCTTTACTTTTAAAAATAATCCATTTTTTATTCATTTACCCTTGACTCACATGGTGTACCCTATAGCGCCAGGAAGCATAAAGTGTATAAGCTCCCGGCCTTAATATAGGCTTCCTTGTCATTACCACTTTGAAACTTTGTAAAATAGATTAGTGAATTTGATCGATTTTGAAGAGAAAGTTAATCCTGTATTAACGGGGTGTCCGTATTAAGGGAATTGAATTTAGAGAAAATGTAAAGGCTTTGTTTCCCCAGGGACAAAGAAAATCGTACGTAATAATATGAGTAATCCATACGAAACAGCACTGTCGCAATAAACGATCGATGATTACTCCTGAAGCCTGAACTCCTGTTATTATTAATAATGAGTTATCCGTATTATGAGGGTGCCCGTAATGCGGGTTTTGACTGTACTAAGGAATAACGTTAACGTTAAATGGAATTGAAAGGTCATCACCACGTACGCCACTATAAAATTGCTGAATTTGGCTATAAGGGAGTAAGTAAATGTCTCTGTCAGATGCCTTAGCAGAGTCACCTGAATACCACACTGCTGATCACGAATATTCTAAAAATGCTTTTAATTCATGGGGCGGGAGTGGTACGGGGAGTGGAGTGGTACGAGAGGACGGAGAGAAAAAGGAGAGGTATAAGAGCTTTAAAAAGGTGTAAATCGAGACAACAATCACAAGACGGCCGCTATGCAAAAGAGCTGCTGCAGAAGAATCATTAAAACGAAGTCAATAGATATCGAAAAGGTGAATGAAAATTTAGATAACGTTTTCTTGTGGCCGAGATGAGTCTCAATGTGTTGGAAATGTACAGTACGTATACTAAGCGGTATGCGTGTTGCTCAGTTTCACTTCCTCACCCGAGGCCTTCGCCCTGAACATGCTGAATACACTCAGATGCCGACTGCGCAGGCCAAGGTTTAATTTACAATTCTTTCATTTTTTTTTTTACAATTATTTTGTGATTTTGATTACTGGTCACTTAAAGAGGGTGACTACCATTGTTCCCGTGATCTGTCCTCTACAGGAAATGAAAAAAAAAACACGCTTTTAATCTATTTTAAATCCAACCTAGAAACCTTGTTTTTTAAAAGACCTTAACAAGTTCTAACTAGTTTTAAATTTCCTTACTTCGATTTTAAGATTTTTGAGCCAATTCTTATTTTACTTTTTGGTAATTAAATATTAAATGTACTTAACTAATGTGGGCCCAACTGAAAACCTCCATGCTGAGTCGCTCTTATTATTATTAATGGAGTTTCAGTTGCACGAGTGGTTGGTCATAATAAAATATATTAATATGATAATATTAATATATTAATCGCTCACACTCCTTATAATTTTTGCCAAGAGCACATGTTTTTCTCAATTATGTTTTTGCTTGTATTGGATAGACAGAGCCACCAGTGACGTTAACGAAGGCTTATTGTATGTAGCCTGTTCCTGGCGTTCAGGTAAGTAGAAAGCGGGAGAAAAATTCACGAAGAAAAAAAAACGAGGGGAGACTAGAACTCGCTCCCCACTTACCGCTGCGCTCTACTATCTAAACGCCTGGAACAGGCTGTATTGTATTTTGCATAAACTCCTGTTTAAGATTTACTAACAATTTGTTTTAGATTTGGAAATGTTGTTGACAAAAGTGACCGATGCGTTCTTAATCAAACTTCTACGAGCGGTTTCTAAAGAGGTACGTCAAAAAACCGACAAACATGTAATCAGTAACAAGATTGACGTCTTTCCTATTCATTTTCATATAAATTATTTATCTTGTAATTCTAGCAACTATTTTTTAGTTTTCTTACTCTTTTTGTATTAACCATTGTGTCATTGTAATTTCTAGATTTACTATCGTTCTGACGTACTATCTTGTAAATTAATTATTATTGTCACTGAAAAGCCATCTTTAGGAAGTGTCATCAAAGTTCGTATTGCATCTTAGGTCATGCGTCATGGATTAAGATGTTTCTTGAAATGTTACTTTTGGGGGGCGGGGAAGGTAGGGGTATAACTAGTGACTTCAAGTGCTGAGGAGACTCTTTTTTGATTATTTGGGGAGTGGGGACTATCAGCTCCCCATTTGACCCCACGATTCCGCCTTCCGCGAAGGTGTGAAAATACGGCTTAACCAATGATTTTCATCGGTTTTCTCCCAGCACTTTTACTGTGAAACTTGAAAATGAACTATATGTACTTGAAACTGCGAAATTAAATGCGTTCATCTATCAATCTATTAATTCACCACTTTACAAAATAGAGGAAACTGGGCCAAGTTAACTTTTGCAAAGGCTTCTGGGACTGTCTCTAGGGACAAGGGAAAAAATTGGCCAATAGCTGATCGCCGAGTCCCCAGTAATGATCCCAGAAACAATTGCGGGACAGATTTCTGCTCCAGTCCCTTTCTCGGTTATAAAGTGGCAAATTTCATGTGCCATCAAATTGTTGGAATATATTTTGAGAAATTTTAGCTCCTTAGCAGTTTTGGTATTTCAACTAGACCAATGTCGATATGTTAAATTCATACTTGTCTCGTAGGCTTGGCGGACAGAAACAAGAGAAATTCCCTTAAGGTATCGGGGTGAATATTACATTTCGTTTTATTCCCTAAGCCTTGAGGCCAAGTTTGAATATTTAAACAAAAACATTAGTCTACTAATGAGAGGACTTTTTGAGATAACTAATATCGTAAATTATGTCTAGTAATTTGGAAAGTCAGGTTTTAGCTGTAAAGTTCTTAAATCAAAAATTTTCCTTTTCTCGACTTTACACTGGATTATGTCTTTTCCCAGCTTTTTGCAACCAAATCTCTATGATAATAACACATTCAAACCTGTGCAGGTTGACCGTTTAATAAAGGTTTGACCGCCAAACTTAAGGGTTTTTAAAAAAAAGGAAGATGGTGAAAGAAAGAAATATCCTTTTCCAACCCCTTTTTGGCTTCAAACTGTTTCTACCTCCACTAGTACCACAAGAAGAAAGAAAGTAAAAGAATAGTTAACGCCTTACATAGTGCATCTCCTGCGCTAGTATAGCAGATCTTGTCAAAGTCACCATTAAATGAATTAGGCTGATTTAGCAACAGAACGGGAACGTCAGTTGACGACGGCGCGCACAAATTAAAAAAACTGGCTTGATCAATGGCAGAGCGGTAAGTTACCTGTTCCAGGCGTTCAGGTAAGTAGAGAGTGGGAGAAAAATTCACGAAGAAAAAAAAAAAACGAGGGGAGACTAGAACTCGCTCCCCACTTACCGTCGCTCTCTACTATCTGAACGCCTGGAACAGACTATATTGTATGTTGCATAAACTCCTGTTTAAGATTAACTAACAATTTGTTTCAGATTTGGAAATTTTGTTGACAAAAGTGGCCGATGAGTTCTTAATCAAACTTCTACGAGCGGTTTCTAAAGAGGTACGTCAAAAACCGACAAACCTGTAATCAGTAACAAGATTGACGTCTTTTCCATTCATTTTCATATAAATTATTTATCTTGTAATTCTAGCGACTATTTTTTAGCTTTCTTACTCTTTTTGTATTAACCATTGTGTCATAGTAATTTCTAGATTAACTATCGTTCTGACGCACTATATCTTGTAAATTAGTTATTATTGTCAGTGAAAAGCCATCTTTAGGAAGTGTCATCAAAGTTCGTATTGCATCTTAGGTTATGCGTCATTGACTAAGATGTTTCTTGAAATGTTACGTTAGGGGGAAGGGTAGGGGTATAACTAGTGACTTCAAGTGCTAAGGAGACTCTTTTTTGATTATTTGGGGAGGGGGGACTATCAGCTCCCCATTTGACCCCACGGCTCCGCCTTCCGCGAAGGTGTGAAAATATGGCGTAACCAATGATTTTCAGCGGTTTTCTCCCAGCACTTGAAACTTGAAAATGAACTATATGTACTTGAAACTGCGAAATTAAATGCGTTCATCTATCAAGAAGGAAAAAAAAAGCGAAATATATTGTTTTAATTCACCACTTTAGCAAACAGAGGAAACTGGGCCAAGTTAACTTTCGCAAAGGCTTCTGGGACTGTCTCTAGGGACAGGAGAAAAAATTGGCCAATAGCTGATCGCCGCGTTTCCAGTATTGATCCCAAAAACAATTGCGGGACAGATTTCCGCTCCAGTCCCTTTCTCGGTTATAAAGTGGCAATTTTTATGTGCCATCAAATTGTTGGAATATATTTTGAGAAATTTTAGCTCCTTAGCAGTTTTGGTATTTCAACTAGACGAATGTCGATGTATTAAATTCATACTTGTCTCGTAGGCTTGGCGGACAGAAACAAGAGAAATTCCCTTAAGGTTTCGGGGTGAATATTATATTTCGTTTTATTCCCCAAGCCTTGAGGCCAAGTTTGAATATTTAAACAAAAACATTAGTCCACTAATGAGAGGACTTTTTGAGATAACTAATATCGTAAATTATGTCCAGTAATTTGGAAAGTCAGGTTTTAGCTGTAAAGTTCTTAAATCAAGAATTTTCCTTTTCTTGACTTTGCACTGGATTATGTCTTTTCCCAGCTTTTTGTAACTAAATCTCTATGATAATAACACATTCAAACCTGTGCAGGTTGACCGTTTAATAAAGGTTTGACCGCCAAACTTAAGGTTTATTAAAAAAAGGAAGATGGTGAAAGAGAGAAATATCCTTTTCCAACCCCTTTTTGGCTTCAAACTGTTTCTACCTCCACTAGTACCACAAGAAGAAAGAAAGTAAAAGAATAGTTAACGCCTTACATAGTGCATCTCCTGCACTAGTATAGCAGATCTTGTCAAAGTCACCATTAAATGAATTAGGCTGATTTAGCAACAGAACGGGAGCGTCAGTTGACGACGGCGCGCGCAAATTTAAAAACTGGCTTGATCAATGGCAGAGCGGCAAGTTGGGCACTGGAAGTCGTGTTTAGTGCTTTCCGAGCCCCTTCCGTCGTCAACTGACGTTCCCGTCCTGTTGCTAAATCAGCCTAAAAATATCTCGTTGAGACCTCGGAAAGGTGGCTGCGTCCGATTAATAGAGAAGACCGCAGTTTGCATATTGTACTTAATTAAAACCTACAATAGGCGACAAAATGTGTTAAGACACTTCCTCCTAAACTAGATTTTTTTACCTTTTACTGACTTCAAAAGAGGGGAATATATCTTTTCAACAAACACCCCAACTTTGAATTGAGGGAACAACGGAGGGGTGAGGATTCTTTTGTTCCCTGAGGTTACCTAGCTCTTTGAGTACAATGTATCAACAATTTTGTCGCCGATTGCAGGTATTCTCATTACGAAATGTCATATAACTGTTATTCTTTTAAATTCATTTGTCAGGATTTTTCAGAAGATGATGATATATGATATAACAAGAGTCATGAGTAAGACGGAAGAATAATCCATTTTGTTCCAAGATATGAGATGGCCCACAGTTCACACCTGTTATCAGCTTGGAGTAATTAAAATAATCTAGACTTGGTGCAAGAGTACAATAAAATGATTATAGTATTGTATTGGCTTATTTTCTCTGTCTCTATGTGGTACTATACAAGATTGCGTTCTATTTCAATCTGTAATCAGATTAATATGTGACCTACTCGATGGCCTTGGGTTTAAAAGACAGGTTCATGGAAATATTTTGGTAGCTGAGTCTTCGTCGCTAATTTTGATACAGCTGTAATTCAAACAAAACATTTTGAGTCTTGTAATTACCTCTAGTCCGGTCAGTCAACTGTGATCTACACCCTATTTTCACAAGCAGAATTAGCACATCAGCTTAAGATCTGACTGTTAGGGTCGAAGCAAAACCGTCAGCTTGTAAGACGATTTCGGTTACTTTTCCCGACAACTTTCTAAAGTGTTGATGAACATAAAAATTCTGCAATTGGCAAACATATTCGTGAAGCTTCGATCACACACAGAGATTCCGGGGAAGGGTTAGCCTGCGAAGCGCAGACGTATTTCCGGTCGTCGCTTCTCTCCCTCGAAAGTGACTACCGGAAATACTTCTGCGCTTCGCGGGCTAGGGAAGGGTTTGACTGTCTCTTCACCGAAATGCTGTCAACAAATGAAAAAGGAAGCGACAGGCAAAACTCTTGCACCTAAGAATCCTAGAAGTAAGGTAAGACTAGTTTGTTAAAGAGGACTGTAAAACCAGAGTTTTAACTGCCATTTGGACTTCTTAGAAGTCAAAGTTTATAAATTGATCAAAAAGAAATCATACAATACAACGAACTTGGAATCGAACTTTAGGAATTTGTATTTTGTTAACCAAGGGCAACAAAACCAAACAAGTTTAATCAATGTCGCGAAGACCCAGATGTATCCACACCTGCACTTTGAAACAACAAGCCATGATAAAAATCTCATCAGAAACATGCATTCGACATCTGTATCACCATTTTCTTCATGCTGCAACTAAAGTAGACACAGAAGTGAAAACAAACTTTATTGACTGACAAATGATAATCTGTCGATCATATTTTGGACATTGTTGTTGACAAACTAAATCAGACTGCATGTAGTATTAAAATAGAAAGGAGATCAGTTAAAGGACTAATTTACACATTATTAACATGTATTTTTTGCTCGATGGAATGTTTGCAACTACTGTTCACTCGAGTAGAAGAGGTCGTTTTTACCTCGAAAATGGAAGCTCTGTTCCGTCTTTAAGCACATTTGAAGTATAAGATTTGATCGAATACGTCATGTATGTGGTGCATGGGATCAATTAGTTAACATTTATGCAATGCTTTCTCGTGGTATGCCTTACATATCCCACTCGGAACTTGAATTTTCTTTAAATACACACACACCTAAATCCATACAAACTCGCCTAAAGGCCCGTGTTTATGCTGAGAAAAATCAAATCACTCGTGAGATATTTCACGGTATATCATTTCAAAGTAATCCATAACCAGTAAAAAGCTTAATCTGTCATTATTATCGCTATAAGATTTTCAAATATTCCAATGAAGCTTTGCACTGTCGCCGCGTCATTAGAGCTCACATATATCATGAACTTAACTTTCTCACATAATGTCATTTGCCTAATAATTTTTTCTCTTATCCCTTTTTTCTGGCATTTAAATGGTAGCATATCGTAAAGTAAGCAATGCTAAGCAAAAAATATTTTTTTTTGCCACGATAGGACCATGCACGTTCCCCGAGTATCAAAAAATTCAAATCACTATTCAACTGGACTGATCAATGAGGAAATGCGATGCGACATTTCAAATGGAATTGGGTCATCGCTTACATGAATGGCCTATCAGCTACTGACACAATTGTTCAATAACTTAAATTAGTTATGCGTTGATTTAGTTCATTAATTTGATCACTGCGAAATTCGACTGCTTTTAACTTTTCTGGTGAGAATCTGAAAACTTGAGGCGAGCGACTAAAGTATTATGTCATCTAACCTAATATGTCATATCTAATTGCTATTGTTTCATTTTGTATTCAGTTTGTTATAGATGTGCAACAACTGCGAATCATTCTAGTTTTTGTTGGATTTTGTCGAGCATCTAAGTGCTTTAATCAAGCGAACACATTTATTGAAGAGGATCAATCTTGGTAAGTTGGCGGGAAAATCGATTCGATAGCTTATTTCTCTGATCTGAACAGCTCATTCTGTTTATAATTTCCAAATTGCTTTTGAACTAGCGCATGTTGCGAGGGGGAAACAGACGAGTGGAAGCCCTGGAACAAAGGGAGAAGGAATGGTAGGGGAGGTGGAAGAGGAAAAGGTCGGAAGGGGAACTCTTCAAGGGTGGAAAGCGGGGGAAATTACTGCACAATGCTCATTACAGTTCGCAACAAAAAGAAGCAATAAAAAAGAGACGGACCACATTCCCCCTAATTTCGAATAAATTATACATGACCACGGAAATGATTTTGAGCAATTTTTAGTTTTCTGTAAAACAATTAAGGCACTTTTTTAAGAATAGCTCCATTGTGGATCGCCTTGGAATTCAGAATTAGCAGGAATTGGGAAGATTTAAAGCAAAAAAACTTTGGAAATATTCCAAACAATTTCAAGACTGAAATCAGACGAACAAGAAGAACTAGAAATTTTCTGCTCCAACGATTTCTTTGAGATATATTTGGCAAATATGAATTCCGAAGTTTGAAACAAAACTATGGACGAAATTGAATGATCTTGTTGTGAAGAAAGAGAAATCGTCTTAGTTTCCTATTTCGTAAAAATTATTTATCTTTAGGTAAATTCACGTTTTTCGTGTTAACTTCTAAATGCATCATAACTGAACGTGTTTTTCTTAAAGCCAGTGTAGTAGCCTTGTCTCTTTTATTGAACCGAAATATATATGAAACAAGGATTTCCATAGATCACTGCAACAGATTCACTCTACCTTGGGGGAAACTGATCCGTTAGAGGATTTATTTAATCTTTGAATTAATTACTATAATGGCATTTCACTGTGATTTACTAAGGTCGGCTATACCTTCTACGTTCATACCTTTCATACCGTTCATATCTTTCACGTTCATTCCAGCAGAATCATTTCCGTTCAGTAACTTCTATAAAATTCTGTAAACTATGACCACAGAAGCAAAATAGCATCTCAAAATAAGTATTTTAAAATTGCAGGATTAAATTTCAAATCAGATTTATAATATCAACTGGACTGGTTACTAAAGAAATGCGATACAACAGTTTAATTAAATGGAGTCGGGTCATCGCTTATATATGGCGTATCAACTACACAGTTGTTACCAGTATTAGACGGACACCCACAGAACTTTCGCTGTCTCCGTTTAATAGAGGTGTCCGCTAAAGTCAGGTTCGTTTTATTTACTAATAATATGATAAGAGACACGGTTTCAAAGATACAATGTATGTAAACCGAGCTACTCGTCCGTTTAATACCAGTTTTAGTGTAGTTATGCGTTGGTTTAGTTCTTTAATTTGATCACTGCGAAAAACGACCTGGGCATTGATTCATCTGGTAAGAATCTGAAAACTCGATCGATTCGACTGACTGTAGGATTAAGTCACAGTGTTAAACCTAATATGTCATATCTATTTGCCACTGTTTTATTGTGTATTCAACTTGTTATTGATGTTCAACGACTGCGAGTCATTGTATCCTTGTTTTTGTTGGATTTCGTCGAGCATCTAAGTGCTTTTAACAAGCGATCTCAGTTATTGAAGTGGGTGGATCTTGGTAAGTTCACGAAAAATCCCATGTTCAAAACGATTTGATATCTTATTTAACTGTTTCTAAACAGCTACTTCCGTTTCCATGCTTTTATTTTTTTCTCTTTGACCAATCATCTGTTGTTTAGTGGACGTATTGCATTTGTGTGAGTCTGACTGATTATTCAAGACTTTTTGGGGCTCATAATATCAATAGTTAGTTTATTTAAACGTTTTTTTTTTCTCCAAATCTTTTTAACCTTAACAGAGACAAGACCGTTTTATGAATTGTTATAACTCTAGCGAAGGACTTTTCAATAGGATGTTCTGACTGTTAATAGAAGTACAATAAATTTACAACAAAAGCGCAAAAATTTTTAACGATCCCTGTAGACAATAATTCAAAGGATTCCTGAAACTGTTGGAAATACGGACAATCAAAGTTTCTCTTAAACGAGGCACCAGATAAATTCTTACTAACAATTGCCCGGATGACGCATTTCGGAAAATAATTTCCTTGTTAGAGATGTGTTAATACTCTCACTGGTAGTTGTATCCAAAAATATATATATAGATTTAGCAGAGGCAAAAGGCGAGGCTCCCGTTAATGAAAACAAATTGAAAAGAAATCCACTTAGAACTGAGCTTGCGACTAGTTGAAAACAAGTATCTTTTCAGGGTAAACTAAAACCTGAGCCCACGATACGGTCCTGTGATACTGGTCAGGGCATACTTTGTTTTAACAGCTCTCAATTGACCACAAAATGCATGTGCAATATTTCACATTGGTTTCTCTTTAGTACAGACGGACGGGCGGGCGGACGGACGTCCGGTCACTGGACTACTAAAATTTATCCGATGGATGGATAACCAAATTTTCTTAGCTGCCGGGCTCTGCTATTAAGTGGGGGAGAACATGGCAGTAGAATCCCTGGAGAATCGAATAGTGGGAGGAAGAGGTACGGGAGGCGCAAGAGGAAAAGGCGGAAGGTGGGAGCTTTAAAAGGGTAGTAAGCGGGAAGTTAGAATAGGAGAAAATTACGCAATAATGCTTATTTTACCGCTATCGCAAAGAAGCCAAGAATGGGGAGGGATTCTGGTTTGGATCCCCTATCTCTCCCCACCTCCACCCCTATCCAATTTTGAAACAGAAAACACCAGGTGCTCAGTTTTTAAAGAATAGCACCATTGTCGATCGGCTTGGAATTCAGAATCAGCAGGCATTGGAGAGATTTAGA